CCTAGATGCATGGGGCAGAGTGGAAAGTCCAGGAACAGACTTATATAGCGTTCGTTCGGTGTGTGAGAATGTCCATAGGAATGCAAAGCTTTGTGGGTGTGAAGATAAGGTGACCGGTTCAGTTTTAAGGATGGTCATTGGACAACAAGGCAGAAGGAAGAATGTTGCATAAAGCCAAGGTTAGTAGATGACCATATGAATGAGTGTTGATGTAAGAGATTATCACACCGGCAAAAAAGACTGGAGCATAGCAGGATTCTCCCATCAATATTGCATGATTTGGCAAAGACTATCCCATGACGTCACAATTATCCCACAGTTATCCTGTGAATAAAGAGGAATTCTAGTGCCGCCTTGTGAATAAAAAGCAGCACTAGAATTCCTCTTTATTAACAGGATACCTGCGACATCACACAACATCATGTGATAATTTTTGCCAAATTTAACGGGAGCATCCTGCTATGCTCCTGTCTTTTTTGTTGGTGTGATAATCTCCATAGTGTGGTAATTAAAAAGAAGATGTGATGAACTGGCCAAGAGAGCTCCCATAAGGTTGGGGTGTTAGCTAGTGTTGTAATGTGTGTGGTATATCTCTGTTCAATCCACTGCTGATCGACTGCAGTTTGTTGATATACTCTTAATTTTGCTGTTTCTCTTTCCAATCTTGCTTTGTGTTGTTGTTGTTGTTGTTGTTGTTGTTCAAGGACTACTGTTTTGAGGTCCAAGATGGAATGCCCAGGAAGACTGAAATATTCTGCAACCAGTTTTTGTGTATTCCCATTCCTAATGTCTGTATATGTATACATGGAGCTCTATAACATGTACAACTTGCTTCACACACCAGGTGGATTGGGAAACTAGCAGTTTGGTCCTATGAATGGTTTGTCTGCAATTAAGTTGCATCACTGTTTACTTGTGAGTCATGTAAAATGAGCCAAATGAACATGGTGAGATTTAATTGCTACTTGCAGCTTTGCCCCATTTCTCAAAATCTGAATTCTAACATTATTTACCCTATCCTAAGTGGTGCAAGGTTTTTAGATTGTATTTTTTAAAGTGTGCTGTTTAGGTTTCCAGAGGTTCCGTTTTTTTCCTTTCAGGCCGTTTGTGGATAAACCCATGGAAACATGTTTTGGAGATCCTGGCTTTTATTTATAGGTTCCTCTTCCCAGTTTCTGGCTTACTTGGTATTGTATTGATAAAGTGACACTTAGGGCCATTGCAGACTGCCAGAAATAGTGCAAACTGAGTCCACTTTAACTGCCCTGGCTCAGTGCTAGGGAATCATGGAAATTGCACTTTTTCCTGTGACATTGAGCCTTCTCTGTCAGAGAGCTCTGGTGCCACAATAAACTACAGTTCCCATGATTTCCTAGCACTGAGCCAGGGCAGTTAACGTGGACTCAATTTGCACTATTTCTGGCAATCTGCAAAGGCCCTGAATTTAGCATTTGCGTGTTCTGCATCTGTAACCTGCATGGAAGATTACATTAGTATACTGGATTCAAAATAGACTTTTCCACTTTCCAGACATGTGAAAGCTGTCCAAATCTACCACTGTTAGCATGCTTGATGTTGTGGTTGTGTCTCCAAGTCATTTTCGATTTATGGTGACCCTAAGGAGAACCTGTTAGCAAGATTCATTCAGCAGAGGTAGGCAACCTTTCCCCTTTAAGGGCCGAGGGACTTCAGCTCCCAGAATCCCAGGAGCTATTGGCCAACATGGGACTATTGGGCAACATGGCCGAGGCTTCTGGGAGCTGAAGTCCCTCGGCCCTTAAAGGGGAAAGGTTGCATACCCCTGTTCGTTCAGAGTGGGAGTTGCCTTTGTCTTCCTCAGAAGCTGAGAGAATGTGACTTGCCCAAGGTCACCCAGTGGGCTTCTGTGGCCGAGCAGACATTCGAACCCTGGTTTCTAGAGTTGTAGTCCAGTGTTCAAACTACGCCATCACACTGGCTCAGTTGCTTACTGGGAAACCAATCACAGTGAATTTAATGGGGCTTGCTTTTAACCAAGTGTGCTTAGGACTGGGCTGCCAGACTCATTAAATTCACATGTTGTTGAATATTCCACAGGGCCCTATGCAAGAAAGCTGTAATTGTAATGGCATTGTTTTCTAGCAAAGCCTTTTCTTAGACTGAGTATCAACACAATTTGGTTATAAACCTGGGAAAGCCATAAGCTGCAATTTTATCTTTGCAGAGATTTTTGAAGAATCGTTGAGAGTATTTCATGGGTAGAGGAGAATCAGACTCAATGTGTATAACAGACAGTAGTACAGAATACAACTCAGGGCAGCCCTTTCTCTATATAATGTTCTTCCTCTGTGATATTTGTGTTGGCCTTCTGCCCTGCTGACCAGAACTTCTAAATTGCATCATAATTTACATGCCAGAGAGTTCAGAAGCTCTGTCTTTTAGTTGATAAATACACTCATCCCTCCACATTTGCGGCTTTGACTTCTGCAGATTTGATTATTCACGGGTTTTATTAATATGTTCTTTCTAGGAATATGTAGGTCCTCCAGCACAACTCTATGCTCAACTTTAACCAAAAGCGACACTGAAGGACCTAGAGATTCCTAGAGGGAACACTCCAGTAGGCATTTGTACCTCCTCCTGCACAAGTCTATGGTCAGTGTCTGGCAGATGTTGACTACAGAGTTGCACTGGAGGACCTAGAGATTCCTAGAGTGGTGTTTTCTCATATAAAAACATAGCGTTTTTGTTATTTGCAGTTTTTCCACATTCATGGGGATCCTGTGCCCCTAGCCCCAGCGAATGTGGAGGGACAAGTGTAGTTTATCAGCAACTCCTTCCCAATGTTTTTGAGAGTTAAGTTACATTCATCTTTATTACTATTTGTACTGATAGTTTTGGGTCTGTATTCTATCAGCACTTTTTCAGACATGGTTATAACAAAATGTATCATGTCACAAATACATGTGCTGGGTACCTCATCCTTAGTATACTGAGTATCTATAATATTTCAGTAACTATTTGTGTGTGCTCATGCACCATATTTTATGTATAATCTCTCTCTTAAACATTATACATAAAAATGCTTCTGTTCTGTACCTTGGGCAATCTACAAAGTTCAAGTGTTTTTTTGGATTTCTGGTAGAGAGCCACATATAAATGAAAGCTTTGCACTGTTTTAAGATTCAGCATGGCAGTAAGAAAGAAAAGAAAAGCTTTTACAAATACACAGGCAGCTAAGAAATGTGCAAATGTGCATAGCTTACCCTGCCAAACATTTCTGAAAGAGAACACTGTAGAGCAGGAGTAGCGACATGTCAGGATTTAGAGACATGCTTTAATTTCATACTCTAACAAGTTCCACCAAGTGTGAAAGATATAATTTAGAATGAAAGAAAGGGGTGCTTTTGAACACATGCTGAGTCTAGAATTTTGTTCTTGGTACCATGACAGCAGCATCTTTCCACGCAAAAATCAATTCCTGGTTATCCCAAGCTAGAATTGGGATAGATGGAAAGTCATTTTGATGCTGCTATTGTTAAATTGTGAGCCAGCATGGCGTAATGGTTGAACATTGGACTAGGACTCTGGAGACCAGGGTTTGAATCCCTGCTTGAGCATAAAAACCCACTGGGTGGCCTTGGGAAAGTCACACACTCTCCGTCTCAGGGGAAGGCAATGGCAAATCACTTCTGAACAAATCTTACCAAGAAAACCCCATGATAGAGTCACCTTAGGGTCACCATAAGTCACAAGTTACTTGAAGCCACAACAGCAACAACATTGTTAACTAGCTGGAAGTCAGAAGCTCTTCCTAGACCTACTGTAAATTGACCAGAGATCTGCCACTAGAGCTTGACAGATCTAGTGCCCATTCCCTTAGTAGGGGATATACTTGATATTTGTTTGTTTATGGTTATTTTATGGGGAAAGAATGTGATTTGAGTGAATGGACTGAAGTTGATAACATTAACAAAGATATCTCATATTCATCCTGTTGCTTATAGGTTGAGCACTAAATTGACCATTGTTGTCCAATCTAAAACAGGCCTTATCCGTTCATTTCAGTGGTCTATTCAAGGTTGTTGTTGTTGTTGTTGTTGTTGTTTGTATCCTGCTCTTTTACCAAAACTGGGACTCAGAGCAGCTTCACAGTATTAAAAAACACAATACAATAAAAGCATAGAAAAGAGGTGCATTAAAAAGGAATTATATTACAATGTTAAAATAGATAGCTATTAAAAGAATAAAATACATTTTAAAAAGATAAAACAGTTTAAAACACTTTAAAATGAAACAACATCCCAAGCTGGTCCTATACAAACATTCCATTTTAAAAGCCTGTCTGAACAGGTAGGTCTTAGCCTGCTGGCGGAAAGGCAACAAGGAAGGGTCCATTCTGGTCTCCCTGGGAAGGGGATTCCACAGTCTAGGGGCAGCCACCGAGAAGGCCCTCTCTTGCATCCCCACCAACCATGCTTGTGATGGTGGTGGGACGGAGAGAAGGGTCTCTCTAGAGCAGGGGTAGGCAACCTTTCCCCTTTAAGGGCCGAGGGACTTCAGCTCCCAGAATCCCAGGAGCTATTGGCCAACATGGCTGAGGCTTCTGGGAGCTGAAGTCCCTCGGCCCTTAAAGGGGAAGGGTTGCCTACCCCTGCTCTAGAGGATCTCAGAGCCTGGGCTGGCTCATACAGAGAGATATGGTTTGCCAAATAGCCTGGATCTGACCCATATAGGCTTTATAGGTCATAACCAGCACCTTGAATTGTGCCTAAAAACAAACTGGCAGCCAGTGGAGCTGTTGTGTGGTCTCTGTAACCTGCCCCAGTTAACACCCTGGCTGCAGCTCTTTGTACCAGCTGAAGTTTCCAGACACTCTTCAAAGGCAGCCCCACGTAGAGCCTGCTACAGTAGTCCAAACAGGATGTAACCAAGGCATGTACCACCGAGACAAGATCTGGCATCTCAAGGAAAGGGCACAGCTGCCACATAATCTTTAAATGTACAAAAGCACTCCTGGTCACTGCAGAGACCTGAGTCTCCAGGTTCAAAGATTAATCCAGGAGTACTATCAAACTGTGAACCTGCATCTTCAGGGAGAGTATGACCCCATTGAACACAGGCTGTATCCCTATTCCCTGATCTGCTTTCTAACTGACCTGGAGTACCGCTGTTTTATCTGGATTAAGTTTCAACTTGTTTGCCCTCATCCAGTCCATTACTGATGACAGGCACTGGTTTAGGACCAGGACAGCCTCCTTGGATTAAGGTGGAAAGGAGTAGTAGAGTGTCATCTGCATATTGATGACACTGCACCCCAAAACTCTGGACAGTAGGTTATAATAACTCAATTATTATAACATTGTATCACCAACTTTTATTAATATTAGTAATCACTGTGCCCATTTACACATCCCAGTGACTTGGTATGCATTTCACATGCTATACTGATACACATAGTCAGTACTTTATGTGTCTAATTGATGTGTATTGCATGATTTTCAGTTTTCAGCAGTGTTGAATTAACATAATAATTACTTAATGAAATAAGTAATATGCATTATTACTTAGAATACAGTATTCTCAATATTTAGTATACAGTATCACTTGCCTTGAGTTCTGTTTTAGGCATCTTAGCTCTATTTAATGGAGATAGATTAAATATAAATCCAATAATAAATCTGTTCTCTTTTATTTATTTATTTAAAATAATAGGAGAGTACATCACATTATGACTTTCCTGCGTTATTGAACAATGTTTTGTACTACACCATGTGTTACAAATGGTAAAGGGATATCCATTCATATTCAAAATGGTCAGCTCCCACACTCTATGAAATTATGTAGAATCATATCTGAAATATGATCAGGATTCCACATGCTAAACAGAAATAGCTTGTGGAAAACATGTTATTTGTTCCTATATCATATAATTGATTATATAACATAATATCAGTTTAACTTTTAGGTTATAAAAGGATCATGAAAATTTTGGTCATTGGACTTGGAGGGTGAGTGTGAATACATAGTTACATTCCTTGTTCGGTTTAGATGCTAATATTTATCAATGATTGAATGTGGGATATGGATTAACTATTTTTAATCTCCATTTTCACTTTGATTTTGCAGACTGCTATAGCATAACCACATTTTCAATGGTCAGGAGGATTGGGGTGGGGGGAGAGGAGGGGGACCTTGTTTAGCATTATTTTAATAGATCAGCTGGTATCTTGACCCTGTCCCTTTGATTTGTTTAGATGATTCTTTAATGTTTTCATTCCAGAAGATTCCAAAGTGGTTTACAATATTGCATATTAAATCCCATTAAATAGAAGAAAATCAAGTAAGAAAACCATAAAATAGTGTAACAAAGCTGGGGTCTGATCCATGTAGACCTTAGTCAGATTATGGATTACCAGTATGAAACAAAGTCACACACATGAAAGCATAACACACACAGTTTGTTGATTATTTATCATTGGTGTATGGATATGGGATATAAATAATACATCCAAAAGAAAGCTTGCACGCACCTGAATTGATGGGCACTCAGACACTCACAGCTTGTGGTTTCTCAAGATGTACTAAAATGATGCTCTGCAAACCAACACATTACCTGGGTGGACAGTGCAATTTCCTTTCCCCAGAGCAAGGCTCTTGCTACAATAGCTTCCTATGATCTTAATGCAGGCTGATAAATTAAATTACTTTTCAAAGGAGGGGAAGACATCCTTATTACAGGGATGAAGTAAGCAGGACCACTGGACAGCTGCAGAATTGTTTATATCAGACTAGAGCTGTGCTTGCATGTTACCAGCTAATCTCCATGAGAGGCCTAACAGTGCCCACTGTGCATGGCAGTATAGGATAATGGGTCAACTTATTCCTAACCAATTTTTCTGGTGCCATTTCCCTCTAGAATAGCAAGACATCAATAAAGCAATAACATATTTCATTAAATTCAAACAAAAATCCATCAGTGATACCTTTATTGGCCAACCAAAATGCACAGTATACTTGTTGCAAGCTTTCGAAACTCCATGGAGCTTCAAAAGCTTGCAACAAGTATATTGTTCATTTTGGCTGGCCAATAAAGGTATCACTGATGGATTTTTGTTTGAATTTGCTAAATGACCATCACAGCTACCCCTGAATATTTCATTAAAATCACTTATGGTAACTAGCAAGACTTAGTGATCAGAAAAATGTCTGAAAAAACAAGTCTTCAACTTACAGTATTGGAGACATCCTGAGCTGGCGACCTACCTTGTGACAGTGGGGAGATTGCCAGATAGTGGATGCCACAACAGAAAAGGCCCTCCTCTGCACTGTAGCCAAATGATTTTCACTTTGCTGTGGTACAGTAAATAGCTTCTCCCCACCACTCCAAAGTATAGGAGCTGGGCTGATATATAATGGAAGAAAGTGGTGTCTCAGATAATCTTGTCCTGAGCATTTTAAGGCTTTAGGAATAAAGAGTTGCCTTTGAATTTGACTTGGTGTGTGGGGCTTTCAGTGTAAGGATTTATACAAACAATACAGCAATCTGCTAAGCAGCCTAGCAGTTGTATAATGTACTAGTTGCAGCCTCCACATTAGGCACCGAGTAGCCCTACATTTTATGCATTGCAGTAGTCAAGTGCACAAATCACTGTTGACAGCCTAAACCTCCCTAGCCAAGCAGCAAATTGTCCAAAGCCACCAAGGCTATCTGGTGCTGGTATAGCTTTTCTGCATTTTTTTTAAAAAAGAAAAGTGATTTCACCCATGCATATTTGCTGCTGCATGTCAGCCTTCCTCTCATGATGCCCTCCAGATATATCAGACCACATCCCTCATCAAGTCCAACCAGCATATGATTTGGCAAAAGAATGAGTTATAGGGGACACACAAGCCCCCGCAAAATGGAAAAACTAGCAGTGACCATTCTGTATTTGTCATATAGTCCCTGTGGGACGCTTGGGTCCAACCTATCTAAGGGATTGCATTCTTTCATATAATCCACCCCGCGCCCTCAAGTCCTCTGGGAGGAATTTACTGCAACCGATAAAAACTAGATTAGCAGTAACCTCCCAGAGGATGTTTTCTGCCGCCACTATCAGACTGTGGAATGCCTTACCAGAGGAGATCTGTCAAATAACCAGCTTGGACAACTTTAAAAAAGCCGTCAAGATGGATCTCTCCCAGCAGGCCTTGCCGGAATAGATCACCTCATCTAAACTGGCCTCCTTCCTTGTTAGACATCCTCTCCATGCTTTTACTGGTGTCCCAGAATGTTTTAATCTGGTGCTTTTATTTTTGTTTTTTTATTTTATTTTATATATTTTAAAGTGTTAGGTTTTATTTATTAGCATTGCTTAGTATTGTTTATTTTGGGCATGTTTTATTTAAATTTAATTTTTTGTTAACCGTCTTGATTGCCACTCAAAAGGCGGGATATAAAAATAAAGTATAATAATAATCATAACCATCATAATCATCATCATCATCCCACCCCTCTGCAGATGCTTACAAAATTAAAAGTACAATACAAATGCAATACAAATCCCACAAACCCACCCAGCCCTTAAAATAGAATTAAAGATAAAAGAATTTAAAACATACTTAAAATAAGTCAAAG